CCCGTGTCCCCTGCATCGGCAGGCGGACTCTCAACCACTGCGCCACCAGGGAAGCCCTTCCATCTACTTTTGAAGGCTGGTGGACGCAGACCACAATTCTACCTCTCTCTAGGTCAAGTCAAACACATTTTCAAAGGTTACAGGAATTTTTAGGAGCAATAAGAACATAATGAAATCCATGTGGTTAAATTATCTGGTAGCAGAAAGTGAGAGCAGGAATCTATTGGTGAACTCTCAAAAGTTCATCTGATCGATCTATAAAGCAGCTGCGGCTCTGAAAAGCCGAACTCGGAGCCCAAGAGGGTGTCCAGCCTAGGGGACACCCAACTACTGCCCAGACACCAGTTCCACTTTGTGAGACTTGGTCTTCTTTACATTAAATTCTGTTTTCAAATGGGGGGGAGAAAAAGAAGAAACATTAATGTATTTCTTTACTGTACTAGTCTATGCCCAAATCATAAAGATATTACCCTGTTCCACAAAAATGAGACTGCATTTAGGGCAAAACTTTCCATCCACCATAAACACTTCATTCTCCTTTCTAGCCATTATAAATTATTTCAGAATGATCAATTTCCTGTTGGAACAAGTTAGAGTGACTCAGGAAAGAGAAAATCAAACATAGAATAACTATCAGTGGCACAAGAGAAAAAAGGAAAGAAAATGAGAAAAGAAATATGTTGAAAAGTGAACTAGGGAATTAACTGAAAACTCAGACTGGGTGGCCCATCCAAAAGTGAACAGGAGGATAACAGAACTTGCCCACTCTCTTAAGGGTACTGGCTGAGAAGGGAGGAAGGTCAACACACAAAGGCCAAAAACACAGTATACTGATATTAGGGTCACAGCTAAGGGGCCCCAGAGTTGGCCGATGAAATTAAAAACAATGTTGGCCACTGTATGTGACCCGGAGTTCAGGAAAGGCACATAATTGCCAAAGCCAGCTGGAAAGCAGAAAGCAAATGGGGAGAGTTGCTGTGTGTGCACCCAAGTAAAACTGCATCACAGTTATGTTACCAGAAAAGCAGAGACTGTTTACCGGGAAAATAGCAAGAGGAGAGCACACAACTGAGCATTAAAACACCTTGAGAATAAGCACTCAGGAAGTATTCTTTTTTTTTTTTAAAAAAAAAAAAAAAAAAAAAAGGCAATATACTTCTGGAAATTAAAGACTCTTTGAACAACCTTCACTGATTTTTCTCTAGGCTTTCTGGCCTAACAGTAACTTAAACAAATATAAAATGCATGTTTAGAAGCTATAATGGTTATTATAAATTGACTTACAGAGAGTCCAAAAGAAATAGGAAAATGGTCCTGAATCCCAAACTCGAAGCTCTTCAAAGACAGAGCCCTGCAGGCAGCCCCAGCCTCTGAGATAGCACCCCTCACACAGAAAAGCTGAACAGAGCTGTGGAAAGAGAGGATAGGAGGCCAACTCTGCACCTCCAGCATATGAAGTGGAATTAACGGAAGCTCCATATCTGAAGAGCACATAAACCAGGCTAATACTGTATGTGATTTATCAGTAGTGCTATCTTATATTCACATTGCATTTTTATTACAAAGAGCTTCCGGGCACTTTATGTAATTCTGAAGGCAGCTGTACAATGTCAGTCCCATTTAATCAAGGAGAAAGGTGAGGTGACAGGGACTGGCTCCCTGCAGGTCAAGGAGCTTTCCTTGCTAGCATCCACTCGTAAACTTCACTCTCAATGATCTACACCAGTCCCCTCATCAGAGCAACTACTCTGCTCCCACTACAATGCAGAGAGAAACTCTCACCTTTTCTAAGCACAATCTAAATATTCCCCAATTTCCCCTACATGTGTAACAAATGAAAATAAAATTCAGGGAGAAAAAGAAGTTTCAGAGCTTCAGAAAATCCTCAAGACTCTGTTTCACACAGTGTCCTGGTAAAATTTTAAGAAGAGAGAAAAATGCCATACCTGCTTTATCTCCCCAATATGGACGTGAACTTTTTGTTTCTCTTCATATAAACATCTCAGGAAAGAAACAATCAATTCATTCTCTCGCTGCTCATTTCTTGGTCTCAATTTCTTAATGAAAATAAAAAAGAATATATTACATTAATTTTTAATTGTCACCAAAACTGCTAACCCATCCCTTTGAAAATGCTACCAGCTTCCATTCATCAACTAGTGCTTTTACCCAATCACCTCACTAGGGGGCACCAATGATCCTACAACTGGAGATAATTTTTAAAAAGAAACAGATAATGAAGCCAGTGGGCCAGATTTAGCCTCTGACCTCTGATGTCCTTATACCTAAAATAAACATTTCACATCAGATAGAGGCATAGTCAAAATATTTAATAAACAGTCTTAAAAACATAAGAAAAGGACAAAAATCTGTGTAAACACCCAGAGGTCAAAAGCCACAATGGTTACTTATTTATAAACTCTTATGGTCAGGGAACTGGAAAGGAAACCAGCAACTGGATCCAGGGCCATGGTTCCTTCCACATGTCAAACATGTTCATCATGAAGCACTTCCTGGAAGCCCCACAAGGCATACACTTGCACACAAAATTTCATGGCATGGACTCAATTTTTTTCCTCTGGTGTTTAAAAAATTATTTGTATGCCTTTTATTTTTCAGGCAAGGTAGTGGCAAAGCACACTGGACTAGAAATCAGGTCACGTAAGTTCAAGGTGTTGCCCAGAAGTGAGACCAAAGGCTTGTCATTTAAGCTTAGCTTCTCTGTCTGTTCAAATGAAGATTATGCACAAAATACACTCCAAGGTCTCTTCCAGCCCCAAATTCTTTGGATTTGAAATACCAGAGTTCATGTTTAGAAGACCATCTAATTTAATGTATTCAATTATTTTCCCTGAATATGAAGAAAACAAAACTGAATTACTCTGGAGATAAACAAAGTTTCTGGTCTATAAACTTTAGAAAAATATCCTTTTTTTTTTTACAATGACAGTTATCCATTGCCCTGCTCCTCCCTCCCTCCCTACCCCAAACCTCTAGCCTGCCCTTTAAATCAAAGTCAGGGTGTCTAATAAACGGATCAATTACACAAGCATCTGAGTCCGGGTCAATGCTGTTCTTGGCAGCCCAGCTGACTAAGGAACAATTTTACCCCTCATGTCACAGACTAGAAGCATTCTAACATTCCTCTCTTAAAGACAAAGATCATTTTAAATAAGTTGCTCCTGTTACCCAAGGAAACAATAGTAAATGATTAGAAGAGGTTGTTTTCAATGAGGACTTCCTGTTCTTTAAAATTTCAGATTTAAAGATTAAATATTTCAAAGGTCAGAATAGATGCTCTCAATCCGGATGCCAAGCCATGAACCTTGATGTTATAAATTTTTACATGTTTTAAGCACACGTGGGTTGTTCCAGAGAAAGTTTCCATCAGATTTTCAAAAGAGGAAAGTGGTTAGTCACGTACCACAATCCCAACTTAATTTTGCTGACCTCGGGACGGTTACAGATATACTGTGAGTCTAAAAGCCCCCAGAGACGACAGGAACTTTCACTCATTGCTGGTGGGAACATGATACGGTTACAGCACTTTGGGAGCCAGTTTGGCAGCTTCTTACAAAACTAACCATGTTCCCACCATGTGATCCAACAATCGTACTGCTTAGTATTCACTTGAATGAGTTGAAAAGTTATGCCCATACAAAAGCCTGCACAAGAATGTGTATAGCAGCTTTATTCATAATTGCTAAACTTTAGAAGCAACCAGGTGTCTTTAAACAGGTGAATGGATAAACTGTGGTACATCCAATGAAATATTACTCAGCACTAAAAAGAGCTATCAAACCATAAAAAGACATGGAGGAACCTTAAATGCACATTGTTAAGGGAAAGAAGCCCAACTTAAAAGGCTACACAGGGCTTCCCTGGTGGCGCTATGGTTGAGAGTCCGCCTGCCAATGCAGGGGACTCGGGTTCGTGCCACGCTCCGGGAAGATCCCACATGCCACCGAGTGGCTGGGCCCGTGAGCCATGGCCGCTGGGCCTGCGCGTCCGGAGTCTGTGCTCCGCAACGGGAGAGGCCACAACAGTGAGAGGCCCGCATACCGCA